TAACCCCCCCCATCTCCACCCCTAAACCTACCCGTCTCCACTCCCTGATCCCTAAACCCACCCATCTCCACCCATAAACCTACCATCTCCATGCCCTAGATGTGGCTCGAACCAAGGTTATTATAGTTTTTCATTTTTTAATTAGTTTTATTTTAATATCGTTTTCAAATTTGCTGTACAATTCAGTTTAGTTTTTATTAGTTTCATTAATATTGTTGTTAGTTTTAGTTTCATTTTTATTTTGTGAACGCATTTTTATTTAGTTTTTATATAGTTTAGTTTCAGTTTTAATTAAAGTGTAGCAGAATTAACAGATCACTTCCACGTCAGATAACCTCACGTGCGCGATGCGCCATTTACAGGAAAAGTAAAAAAATATAGATGTGAATCATTACCCTCAATTTTTTACATTGGATTAATGAAACATTTTTTTTCAGTGTATTTCCCTAAACCGCGCCACACAGCAAAATTTTCCGCCAAGGGGTGAGAACGTAATGATTACTAAAACGATTATTCATTTTTTATAATTATTATTATTTCAGTTAGTTTTTCAATAACTGTTGTTAGTTTCGTTTTAGTTTTCGAATTATTTTGCCATTTTTATTTTATTTCAGTTAGTTTTTCAATAACTGTTGTTAGTTTCGTTTTAGTTTTCGAATTATTTTGCCATTTTTATTTTATTTCAGTTTACAAAATTGTTTTTTCATCAATCGTTTTCGTCTGTTTTAGTTTTCGTTTACGAAAATAACCTTGGATCCAACCCCGCCCCCGGGATCTTTGTTCTGCAGTGAGGGGATACTGTTATTTAGTGATATTTATACTGCAATTTAAAGCACTTCCATATAGCAAAAAGATAAAATTTTTCAATATTTTTCAAAATATACGTACATAAAATGGCCAACCATATTACTAATATAGATTTGATTTTGATAGTTCTCTCATATGTGTGTGTAGAGGTCATCATCGGGCTGGCTGTGTGTGGATGTCTTCTCTTCCTCCTGATACTGCTGCTGTTTGTAGTGCTATGCCGTCTAAAAGAGCCCATGGCTAGCTACAGTCATGTCATAAACGAGAGTGACTCCTGACAATCATATCGGCTCCTCCGCAAAGAGGAACTGTGGGACAGTGAAGAGGATCTATGAGGACACAGTGCCAAGTTGTTGAGAAACTCTAAAGACAGAACTCTTTTTGGTCACACATTTTTTATATTGGGTAAGAGTTGGCAATGTTTTATTACTTTACTTGTAACCTTAAGTGTTTTTAGAGAAAAAAATGGAATCAAGATTTGGGATGGCGTCATGGCATTAACGTAAAACACAGTGCTTAGTGCACAGATCCGTAACTGAGCAGCTGTGACTTGTGTGTCTTCGGCTCTGGGATTTTATTGTAACAGAAGATTGTGTACAAAAGTCAACGAGGGAACTAAAACTCTGAGACTGAAGCTCCTCCAGAGGCGCGAGTCCTCTCTGAAAACACAAGGATTGTTGGCGTCCTGCTGTTTGTGCTCCCAAGCCATTAATTCTACTATATTTGTGAACACCTGAAGATTCAGATGGGGCAATGAAAGACTACTGAATACACATTGAGGCCTTATAATGCCCTCACAGAATTTTACCTTCATGCTTTTTATGTGATTATCTCCTAATTTACAGCCACAGAAGAGTTTTGATTAGTAAATTTCAGAGTAACAATATGTGCAGTTTTAATCTTGTGCAGTTTCCTTAATGTTTTGTCATTCTACATTGATCACGTGAATACAAATTAAATTTTATATTCAGTTATGAAGGATGATTTCATGTCTCGATACAGTAAAAAATCAGTTCCAGGTGCATCAAATTTAATACAAAATTGACTGATAAACAGATTGTTGTAATTTTTAATGTTTTGTTTGTTTTTAATGATTGTCTTTTTACTGTTTCAGTGCACATCTCGGCATGACTGAAAATGTTCATGACAGGATTAATTTAAAACAAATCCTATATTGACTAGTTGATGAAATCCTGATGGTTTGAGATGGTGTCCTTAAAGGGATAGTTCACCCAAAAATGAAAATGTTGTCATTAATTACTCACCCTCATGTCGTTCCAAACCCGCAAGACATCCGTTCATCTTGAAGATGAATGGAGGTCTTATGGGTTTGGAACGACATGAGGGTGAGTAAATAATGACAGAACTTTCATTTTTGGGTGAACTATCCCTTTAATCTGAAAAGATGACAGCAACTTTTTTTTATTCTGTTTTATTTTCATCAAATAGACAATGTTTGACAGGACAACTGGTTTAAACAAATGCACATCTTTCTTGTACCAGGTCATTAACATCATGTTAATAGTCAAAATGGAAGCTTGTAATACATGTGTAACAGCACAGCGTCTTTAGTGTCAGGAAAAGAGCTTCAAACCAACATGTTTTTACCAAGAACATATAACCCAAAATTCATTATTGGTGTAAATCTGGCTTTAAAAAACCATTAATGGACCTTTGCTTTGAATATGGGGGTGTCCCCTCAATATCCATATCATTTAAGGTCCTGGGGCCCCATTTATAGACATGCGTAGAATGATCTAGTGATGTGTGAATATACGAAAGTTTCTGAAATGTTCATATGAACAATTTATAAATTGTCTGTATGCACAAAAATGTCCCTAAATGCATAACTTAATAAATCACAGTTCATGCGCAATGTGAAGTAGTACATCAACTACACTGACAGAATGCACACTAATATCACTTCATGGCTATATTAATATATAATTCCCTAATTGCAGTGACATAATCATCACAAAGCAGTTAAAATATTGCTCATTTGTGAATATAAATGCATAATGTGCCTATTTATCTTTACATGTTCTTAATCGAGTTTAATTACTGGTATATTAGCACAAGAAGTTCATACACATGCTTTTTCCCAATGCTAAATCCCAATGTTCTTTACTTTTGACATAGAATCAAATTCATGGAATTGAGGAGCAAATCTGATCATAAATGCATGACACAGAGAATGACACTCAACAATCTTTAATGTCTACTGAAACATTACACAGGCCAAGCACCATTAAAAACCTTAAGGATAACACTGAACACACACACACATACGTGCACACATAAAAAAATATTCTTGCTGCACCCCACACACAGCTGTTCTTTTTTAATGCCGCTCTGACCTTTAACCTTTACACTCAACATTCAGTTGTGTCACTGCACAGGTTCACCATCACAATCTGGGGATCTGCTTATCGATGAACGAGTATTAAGATGTACATGTTATTTCACACACAGAGAGCAAAGGAAATAGGAAGAGATAACTGTTGATTGTCTGTTGTCAAGGTCAAAGGTTAGGAGCGTGTGAGGTAAGGCTCTGATCAAGCGATGGCTTTGGCCTCAGGCAGGAAGGCCTCCCAACACTTCACCAGCTGGTTTAAGATAAATAGCAATTCATGAAAGACTATTCATTGGTGTATAGTCGTGTGTACAGTGGTGTAAACACTTACCCTGTGCTGTGTGTGAAGCAGGGACTCCAGGTATTTCACTATGTGCTGTTTGAAATCTCTGGCTTTCTCTTTCTGTCACAGAAAAACAATTCTATTTGAATCTTATATTTTGTGATGTAAAAAGTATTGCCAATGGTCACAGCTTCTGGAACTGGAACTACTGAATTTCGGATGAATGCTGGTAGATTTTTTAAGATAGTTTTTTAACATTTACAATGGTAAGTTGATGATTTTATTGCTGTCCGTATCCAGAATGACTGTTTTTCTTTCCACTATCCATGTGAAAATTCCTGGCTGCATTACCTACTGTTTTTTGACAAACAGAGGTTGTGTGGTAATTTAACTGCCGTCCCAATCCACCTGTCTTGAGTTTAGGAAAAGAGATCAATCCAAAGTCACCAAGCACCATCTGGCAACTGTTGTGCTTTGCTTCATTTTAAATATGGAAACAGATATACTTTGTCAAGAATAATACAGGAAGTCGCCGCACCTCTATAGTGAAAAATGAGAACAAAATTACATACGCTTCTGAAATAGACAATTATTATGGCAGCAACATGTATGTAACAAAATTTAAAAATATGTAATATTTATATAAATTAGGGCCTGCATAACTAATTATTTTAGCAGTTGACCAAACAGTCAATGTTTGCCCAATGTAAATAATGTAAATTGTAATGCAGGGCATTTAAAACCATAAAACCATAGCACATCAATGTTCCTATTCTTAAAGGGATAGTTCACCCAAAAATTAAACTTCTGTCATTAATTACTCACCCTCATGTCATTTCAAACCTATAAGATCTTCGTTCATCTTCGTAACACAAATTAAGATATTTTTGATGAAATCCAAGAGCTTTCTGCCCCTGCATAGGCAGCAAGGGAACTACCACGTTCAGGGCACAGAAAGGTAGTCAGGACATTGATAAAAATAGTCAGTGGTTCAACAACTTCAACTATTTTTTCTCTTCCGTGTCAAACTTTGACACACGCTTACGACAGTACCATGTCAGAACACCGGCTCCATCATCAGCAACACCACACGCATCCATCGTGTTACTTTCCTGAATGCGGGGCGGAGACAATTTTTTGAATAAAGTTGCTATTTTTGTTTTCTTTACACACAAAAAGTATTCTCGTAGCTTCATAAAATTACAGTTGAACCACTGATGTCAAATGGACTATTTTAATGATGTCCTTACTACCTTTCTAGTAATTACATTGTTGTCTAAGCAGGATCAGAAAGATCTCGGATTTCATCAAAAATATCTTAATTTGTGTTCCAACGATGAACGAAGGTATTACAGGTTTGAAAGACATGAGGGTGAGTAATTTATTACAGAATTTTCATTTTTAGGTGAACTATCCCTTTAAATAGAATATTTAAATGACAAATAATAAGCAGGACATTTCCAGGACAAAAAAATTAATCACAAAGTCCCTTTAAGGCAAGTCATGTCACTCGGCGGCCATCTTTGAAACGCCTCATGGGCATGCAAGTGCAGCTCTTATCTCTTTGAATGGGGAAACATCAAACTCTCCAAAACTGTTTGCCAAGCTTACGATTAAATTTCACATTTGAAATCACCAATGAAATCTGAAAACAACTGTATCATAAATGTTGTTTATTTTGCTCAAATAGCATTTAAAAAAAGCTTATTTTTCAGACTAGACCAGCCAGTGCACATGCACAGTCCTAAGCGCATTCTCAGAACGCTAATTGTTCCTATAGCAACCGGGACTTCTAACGGCAGCTGCAGTGATGTGCTGACTTTACCGATTAGGGACTGGCTCTTTTACTCAGAAGGCGGGGCTTCATTTGATAGAGCAGCCATATTGAGCTTTGCATTTTTCTCCATTCAAAACTAAACGAGTGACACGTCTTGGGTATTCTATTTTAGCTTTGTTCATCTTTGTTGTCTATCTTTGTTCATCATCATGCTGAACATGTGACTGACCATGTCAGAAGTGCATTTCTGGGTTAGTAGGATCACAGAGCTCCTCCACCACGAATTAATCTGTATCTATTTATTTTATCACTGAGAAGCCATGAAAACTTTTGAATAGATGTTCCTATGAGAAACAACTACCGTACAAATAAGGTTTTGTTGCACTTGTGATGTTTTGTGCTGCATTTCTACCAAAATACATCTATAAACAACATCAACATTTCTTACCTCAAATCTGAGCACTTCTTTGCGCACAGTACAGGTGACTCTTTCGAAATCTCTCTCATACTGACTGACTTTAGACTCCCACTGTGCAGAGACACAGAAAACAGCTCCATGTTAACAGCAAAATAGTGACAAATCATATTGTAATTTAACAGAGCTCCCCTACAAGGATGTTACATGTTGGTCTAATGTACAGTACTTGAAGCGCGTTGTGCATAAATCATTCGCTGTTGATAACTGAACCTCATTTATGTCATCTTTAGCCTGCTGCAGCTTCTCGGGTTTGTTCGCCCAAAGCAGTTTGGCCTCAGCCTCTCGTTTCTTCTGCAATGTGCTCTGAGCCTCCTGCAAACGCTGCCACACTTTCATCCTCTGCTCAAAACAGTACTGAGGACAGCAAAGAACACAGAAAACAACATCGTATTACTTATGCAGTGGGCTCTGATTGTTGGTTTTGCATTATGTGGTTGTGCTCTCTAACCCTCACGGCCCCCAGCAGTCTGACGTAGTCGGCCAGGAGCTCAGCGAGGATGAAGAAATCGCTGAAGGCCTGTTGCTGATGCAGCTGCTCCATCTTATCCTCCACTTCCGCCAGCTGTGACAGTGCACGAGATAACGCAGAGTTCTCCTCCACACTGCCCAGCATGGCCACACTCTTACTAAACACCACTGTGTTACTACACAACTCTACGAGAGGAGTAAGACTTTGAGATGCTTTGTAACAGTATGAATCTGAAAGACCGGCTTCACGGTGTAGTTTTCATTCTCACCTTTCCTGTGGTTTACTAATGAGTCGACAGCAGCATGGAGCCTCCTCAGCAGCTGCTCCTCATTCTCCACTTCCTGCAGCTTACTCTCAAACCACTGACACACACACACAGAGAGAGGTGTCAATCACTAGTCAAATGCAACGATATGGAAGAATTTATGCCCTAGAATTGCAGGAACTGAGCTCCTCTTACATTATCTGATTCATTCATTTTAATGGTCATCTTATTCACTGCATCCGACGCTCTGTTTATCATCTTTAGGAGGCCAGGTCCACTCAAAGCCTGAGTATTCACTGCCCTGGGCAACTAAAAACACACAAACATATATGTTTAGATATGAAATATGTCACTAAAAATACTGTATGATGTGTCTAGGAACATGACAAAGGCAGTCACCTCATCTCTCTCTAAAAACTCTCGAACATCCGGGTCCTGCAACAGAGATGGATGAGCCACTACTCTCTGTAGATACCTACAGAAAATACAAACAAACAGTCAATGTAATATATATATATATATAAATATAACCAGTTAAAGATAAAATGAGTGTGCATTAGCATGTGAATCAGTGTTACAACTCAAAATTCTGCAGCAATGAATGCAATTTTCTTTTTGCATTGCTAGTGCCGAAAGGTTCTAGGTAGGGGATGCACCGATACCACTTTTTCCAGTACTCGCCCGATACCGATACTTTTATTTTTGGTACTTGCCGATACC